ATCTTCTCACGTTGAGTTTAAGATGAGGCTAATGGTTATTCAGAAGTGTGTAGTTACTGTCCACAGTAGCATTTTCCATAAAGGCTACCTGTCAGCTCCTCTATACCATCTAAACTGTTAGAAGGGTAACCAGTCTTGGATGTCTGGAGTGTTCAATCCTCACGGATTCAAACGGCGGATTGGTATCCTAACTGGAGCAACGTAGGGGCATGCATTGTATTAGGGTTGTTTGCAAGAGCAGCACGGATTCCCGCAAAAACCAGTCCGCTTTCTAATTGCTGTCTCTCTTACAAAAAGGTGTATCCAGTGTCCACTAGACTTGATTTCCCGAGTTTTCACATTCCTTTGGGGGAGGGGGACAACCACACCAGAGATTATATAGTCATTCTCTCTCATCCGGAGGTGACGTCAACGTCGGATTGATCCCAGTGGCTGTTGCTAACACCGACCTGTTGCCACTAAACTCATACAATCAGCCGCTCATACAATGGTCTCGAAAAAATTCTGTAATGCGTTTTTAACGAAACCACTCAATAAGAATCAATCCGGTGATTTGTTCATAGTTGTATTTAAAGGTCATGAACTGCTGTAACTCGGTGGGAATAATGTACCAGTTTATAGTTTCTTCTAATAGATTACGAGCTAATCGGGTCTACTTTCTGTTTTCCTGTGTCCAGATCGACCTTATTCACAAAATTGGTTTCTCATCTTAAGAAGCGAGGATGTGTTGATAAGATATGATGATATGATTGCAAATGGGAAGTTCCTTCGTGATCAAGATCGTATCCAAATTTCCTTGAAAGTATTCTACAACTGTTTCATCTTTGCTTGGAATCGTCAGTAAATATTTCGGTAGTATGACTTTCTCTCTCTTTTTGCGTTGATAATGGTTTCGGCCAAAGATTAAACTGATTTGCAGTTCTATGAAGGCTTATTGTTAGTGGCTTAGGGTAGATTTGCATAGAACGACCAACTCATCTCCCAAACCAGTTGGCAAAATTTATTTACCGCTTTTTCCTCTTGTTTCAGCTCGGTGGGCTTTACGAACAAGGTGATGGTAAGTAATCACTCCGCGAATCGTGTTTCATTTCATGCACTCTTATCCTCTCTTCTTAATTGTTCAAAATCTAAGTCCACAGTTTTGTGACTGAGTCCCGGAATACCACGCAATCATACATCGCGATCAATGTGCCACTTATTTTGTTGATATCCTCCCGCTTCTAGCGATCAATCATTTGTTTAAAAGAAAAATTCATTCCAACTCGCGGTTTCCGATTTACATGCCCTCATGTGTTCTCTACTCAGTTGACGTACATGCTGTTGCGTTGTTCGGTCGCATTATCCAATTTCTGTCTGTGTCTGTGTGCGAGATCCTACTTGAGCATCCCCTTCGTGTTCATTTATTCTTGCTTGTATACAGGACCGAAGCTTAAAAAACCTGTGATTGGTTATCAGACTTTGCGAAAAATTCGAGGTAAGAGTCTCGGGCCAGTTTGTATTTTCGCTCGCTCCGAATTTCTCGATGGTGAGGAGTTCTGTCATTCGTTTCTCTTGACGCGTGGTGTATCGTTGTCAACGCAACTGCTTCCCTACTCGACACTCTGTCCAATCTGTGTTAGCCGCCTGCATGTCCCCGTTTCTCCCCATGCATTTGTTCGAACTGTCCACTCTGTCTACTAGTTTGATTGGTTCCCATGCACGTGATTGTTCATGTCTATACACGCGCCCGTGCCCAACATCTGTGCTTATGTTGCTTCTGCCGCCTGATTGTAGCGCATGCACTTTAAAACACTGTTCTTGTCTCTTCTTCGTGCATCTTGGTTATTGTTACTCTCTTCTCTCTCTCTGTCTCCCTGTCTGCCGTCCCGATGCAGAAATGCCTCCCGAGGACATAATGTCTGAAATCCTACAGGAATTGTCTAATCACAATGAACGGTATGTTTGTTTCATTACTCTACCGGTTCACTTTTTTCATTCCTACTCTCACACGCCGCCCGACTGAACTCTAGGCAAATCACGGTTTTTTATCTCTCTCGATGCACAAGAGATTCCGTGCTATTGCTCTTTTTCACGCCAAGCGAGATACACATGTCTTGCTAGATTTTGGTCGTCTTGGTCTGTTCGCATAAGGTCTTACATCTTGTGATAAGCCGAGTACCGTTTTTTACCGAGCTATTGTTTAGATCTTAGACGCTTCTGTGAAGGTGGCACTCCTCGTATTCTCTTTGTTTGTATGTTGGTTTGCGTTTGTTCTGAGAGCTCGACCCCACCCCTCCCCCTGCGCCGTGTGTTGTTGTCAGCAGTATTAAAACTGCGTTCGGTACTCATTTTCCACCATTCCGCGTGCTTTGTCCTTGGAAAGTATACAGTAACACTGTACGATTCCAGACCCTAGCTGGATTGAATCATTTGGAAAATGGTGCTTCATGCTTAGGTTTTTCAGATCGGAAGGGTTTTGCTTTATGTAATAGCAATCCAAGCAATTTTTTAACCTAATTTATTAGTAGTGAACTATTCGTGCACTATCTGAGAATTTCATTTTATCGACTAGACGAAAGCTTTCCAAGAGGATCGGAACTTCACCGCCCTAACAACATCCTAACACTACATATTCGGTGAGCATATGGATCCTAAACTCCCTTGATCTACTGAACACCATATCGCAATGCATTCCAGCCTACCATAATCATGCTGGATAGATGTTTCCGTCCCCACATTAGCATTGTGTCAATGTGTCATGTTTTTCAAGTGTTACATATTATCCTCTTCCTCCTCTTCTTAAATCAGCCTGCTTTTATGGCTTTCTTGCCATAATCACTCTATGGTTCCGAGCAGGTAATTGTTTTGTCTGCACTGTTTCCGGGTTTCCACTGTTGTCTTTGCAGTCAGTCTCG